AAAAAACAATTAAAAAAAGAAAACCAATAAAGAAAAAAATATAAAAAGGAAAAAAAATATATATATATATTAGATAAACTAGTTAAAAAACGTTAAAAAAAGAAGAGGGTAAAAGTTAAAAAAATTTAGCAGAAGAAGAAAAATAAATTGAAAAAGAAAAAAAATTAAATTAACTGCAAGGCTAAAGAATCATGGGGAGAAAGCCATGAGTTCCGTGCTTTGCTTTCTCCTCCTTTGGAATTCCGCTGCTCTCCTTGGTATTGAAACTGTACTCCTTGGTAGGTGAACTTGATCCTGGCTGGGCTTCTTGTTGATCTTCTGGGGGAGGGGCCTGTTGTAGTGATTCTCAAGTGTCTTTGCCCCAGGCGGAGTTGCACCACCCTTACCAGGGGCCGGGCTGAGTAATCCGCTCGGGTTTGCTTTCGGGAGCTTTTGTTCCCTGAGCGCTTTCCGTAGAGTTCCGGAGGGCGGGAATGAAGATGGCGGCCTCCCGGTCTCCGGCCCGGAGGAGCCGAGAGCCCGGGGCCCCACTCCTCAGTGCGCCCTCAGAGAACAGCGCCAATTTACTCCCGTCACCCTGCCTCCGGCCGCGCTCCGAGCTGACCGAGCCTGCAACCAGTTCAAGGTAACCCCGAGCTGAGAGTCACTCCTCGGCTCTGTCTCTGTAGCCGGCTTCCCTGTTCTAATACCTGTAAGCTCTGCGACACTCAGACACCCCTGATCCTTCTGTGACCCTGCGGGACCTGAGGCCACGCTGACCCCGTGTGGGCTTCAACCCGGTTAAGCCTCTGGAGCGATGTCCCTCAGCGGAACAGACTTTTAAAAGTCCCGATTTTGTGCTCCGTTGCTCCACCGCTTGCCGGGAGCCGGCCCCTCCCCCCGCGGTCTATCTTCCTGTCGCTTTGGATTCACTTCTCCGCCCGTCCTACCTTTCAGAAAGTGGTTGATTTTCTGTTTCTAGAGTTGCTGTTCTTCTTCTCTTCGATCTCCCGTTGGATTTGTAGATGTTTGCAATCTTTAGATAAGCTATCTAGCTGATCTCCCGCTACCTGAAGTAGTCTCAGCCTGCTACTTCTCCGCCATCTTGACTCCTCCTAGATTTTTCTTTTTTAAATAGTAAAACCAGCATCAACTTTCATTGTTCTCCAGCAGCTTAAATGGTTTTCCTATGTCATTAAGCTGACTTAAATTTAAACTCACAAATCTACTTTGTTTTTGCTAATACTTCTTTTAATTTGACCAGTAGAGTCATAACTGGCTAAGGTATTAAAGCAAATCAGATCTTTTCACATATATTGCAAATGTGGATGTGTACTGGCATGGCCAATGGTGATCAAGAGGGGTTAGCTCACCAGTGGGAACTCAGAGTCCGTCATCCCACGCTGTCTTCAGAGTTATTTTGTAGCCAATGACAGGCCACATCCCCACCTCCTTTTACGGTTGTCTTCTGTCAGGTAATTATTAACTTTTTGAGATGTTGAAATACAAAATGCTGCCAACTTGGAAAACAATAGTCATTCATGAATAGTCATTCATGGCCATTGGAGGAGAGGGGCATCGAACTCCCTTCCCAGATTCCGTGTTTACCCAGAATGCTCTGCTCCAGGTGTTGCTGCGGACCTGGGGAGAAGATGAAGTATAGACATTAACAGCATCTGTCAGTTTTGGCCTCACCCTGTGAGCTCATTTAAGCTCCTCACCTAGGATGCTCACTGTTTGGATGGGTCAACTCTCTGAAATCAGATGGGAAAAGAAGCCTTTTGAATAAGATAAAAAGATAATGAGGAAAACATTACACATAACCAAAGCATTAGACTATAAAGTCAGTTCATACAGAACTTTCCACTGTTACTCCATTGTTTGTTTCTGATTCTTCCTCATAAAAAATTTGGGGACCTTTTTCTCTCTGGCACTTTGTTGTGGAACCTTGCATAAAACTGCACGTCTCTAGGGCTTGGTTTTCTTATCTCTAAAATGAAGATGGAAGTCCTTCCTGCTTTTTTATATGCTTACACATACCTAAAGCTTTTAAAATATAAATATCTGCTGATTTGACGAAACATTAGGGCAAAACGTAGAGTCACTCAAGCTTCCCAGGCACTGGGGAGTCGTTCATGCACAATATGATTCTTTTAAACAAGTTCCTTCAGTATTGAATTTTTCCTTTCCCCAAGAGCTCTATAAAAAAAATGGTGTTTTCTTGCCAGAGACATCAGGGCCTCAGAACTACTGCCCTCCTTCTATGAACATATTCTATGGTGTGTGTTTGGCTTCGGATCTTTTTAACAGACAGCCCAGCTCCACTCGGAGAGGCTGACTCAGCAGAACTCCTCCTGGACATTCCTGCTCTTTTCAGGATTAAAGTGCCCATTTGCTGCCTGCTCCGCAGGCTCTCTCCTCCTTCTGTATCCAAGGTGGGAGAGGCACTGTAGCATTGCGTCCTTCCCTGTTTTACTATAGACATTTTCCAGAGCATTTCTCCCAACTCTCATATGGTTAGAGCTTGAACCAAACAGGTCTCTCTTTTGTGTTCACAGCTTGCTCAGGGATCACTCGGGTCCTCTCAGTGGTGCTGGTCTGCCCAGCACCTGCCATCCACACAGTCCCTGCCCCACTTTCCCGCCCTCTTCCTCATGTCACTGTCTTACCCTCTGACCCGCCCCTTTGTAATGGCCAGGGATCTTCTTTTCTTTCCCTTAATGGAAACCCCAACAGAATCTCAAAGGTTTTAGGAGTAAGGTTTGAATGTTTTATTACAGAAAATTTTCAATTGTGTGCAAAAGTAGAGAAAACAGTATAACAGAACTCATGGACCCGTCACCCAGCTTCATTAATCTTATTTTATCTACTCCTAACTCCAGGTTATTTTGAAGTTAAGTCACACATGTCACATCAGGTCCAGCTCCCTTTTTTCAAAAATCCTCCCCTCTTCACAATTTACTTGAGAGAAAGACCTAAGTAGCCCTCATCCGGATTTCATTTCACTTAGCCCCAACCAGCTCCATTCTCCCAAGCTACCAAGGTGCTCACAAGTGGCTGCCCCTGCCCTGTCCCCCCACACCCCTCTTCTGACAGAACTGCCACAGGACCGTCCAGCTCACCTGCCTGGTGAGGGCTCCTTTACAAGATGGATGGGAAGGGATGGCTATTTCAAGCATCAGAGGGACAGGTTAGGAAAAGATAGCTAAGTCACACCTCACTGGCCAGGATAAGGTGGGCTTACTTGTTTTTATCCACAGTCAGCCACGGCAGACAAAGTAAGAAGCACTGCCCAAGATAAAATGGTGGTTGTGAGGCTAAGCTCTAACCTCACTGCCATTCCGCCTGCCCCTTCTTCCGGAACGGGTCAGACTGTCCTCCTGTGAGGGATCTAAAGATTTCTCTTCTCCATCTCCATTTTCAGATGCAGTGGCAGAACGTGGAGCACGTTGGTGACCAGAGCCCTTATGTCACCTCTGTCATTCTTCACATTAAACAGAATGTCCCTATCATCCGTGACAACTTGGCTTCCACGCGGAAATACTTTACTCAGTTCTGCATTAAATTTGCAAAGTAAGTCCTGGAATATTCTTATCTTTTCTTCTTCTTCTTCTTCTTTTTTTTTTTTTTTTTTAAGTAGGCTCCATGCCTGGAGTGCAACTCTGGGCTTGAACTCATGACCCTGAGATCAAGACCTGAGCCAAGATCACGAGTTGAACCCTTAGGGGCACCTGGGTGGCTCAGTGGATTAAAGCCTCTGCCTTTGGCTTGGGTCATGATCCCTGGTCCTGGATCCAGGGTCCTCCCCAGTGGGGAGCCTGCTTCCCCCTCTCTCTGTCTCTACCTACCTCTCTGCCTGCTTACGATCTCTGCCTGTCAAATAAATAAATAAAATCTTTAAAAAAAAAAGTTGAACCCTTAACTGACTGACCCCCCACACACACACCAGTGCCCCTGGAACATCCTCATCAGTGGGTTATTCTGAATGCCATACTTACCACCCGTATGCTCACAATCTAGGTGTCCCACCATCCAGCTGGAGCTTATTCTGGTGCCTGTAGGCGAACTAATTTTTTGTACCCCAAAGAAGCATAATAAAACTAAATCCACTACTTAAAAAAGTTGCAGACAGCAGTAACAGCATGAAGACATCAACCAAATGAAGAGAAACTCAGAAATGAGTTGGGGAAACTGTTACTTTGAATGATGTGGACATAACAGTGCCCCTGCTTGCCTATAGATTTGGATAATTAAAATTATTTTTCAGTGATTTCATGTATATTGTTTGTCTCTCCAACTAGATTATAAGCTTTTTTAGGGTAGGAACCCTTGTTCTATTTCTTTTAAGCCTCCACTTCCTCCTTCCCCACAGTACATATTACTGGGACTGCCAGAATTTATTTGCTTCTAAACATCCTTGAGTCCAGGGAAGGTACTGGAAACCGGGCAGAGCAAGGCAGGGGTTTCCATTGCCAAAGGAGATGAAGTGAACGCTTGCACTACATGTCTTTCTGCTACATTCTCGTGTGTGGCCATTTCTGGCTTGACATTTGGAAATAGGGAAATAAATGGTTTGGTCCCTTGCCAGGCAGCATCTGGCCATAGCACCATTTCCCCGGAGGCCAGGCAACGTAGAGGGTCAGTGCCTCCTCTGACCAAAGAGCAAACAGGAGTTTTGGCACACGTCTCAAGGAAGGGGCTTCAGGAAGGTCAACCTATTCCGAGCTACTGTGTTTAGTTTGTCCTCATCCCAGTCCCAAGGTGGGGATTTAGGGCTCCAGGTTTCTATCTTCCCCAGATCTCTGCTGGTTTGTATTCAATTAATGCTCACTCTCCCCCTCACAAATAAATCCCTAAGGAACAACAATTATGGGGGGGGCTTGTGCATTAGCTTCAGTTTCCAGTTTGTCAAGAAAGGATCGAGTGGACTCTCCAGGGAGGCATTAATGTTTGCAATATGGCAGATGACCCGGGAGTTGACATTCCCTTTGCTCCCTGAGTGCTCTTCAGTGTGTGTTAAAGGCATTGCTGATAAATCACGTTGTGACACTCCCATATCCTGGGTAGAAACAGTGTCTCTGTAAAATTTTACTGTGGCCAAAAATCTCCAGTGCGGTTGCACAGGGGTCTGACTGAGCGAACGTCAAAGTGAGTAAAGGGTCCATCTGCTTAGCTAGTCCCGGCTTCAGTCTCACGTTCTCTCGGAGCCCTTAAATTTTATTACTAAGCTCATATTTGGGTGAGCCAGGAATAGGATGCCCATCTCTCACATCTGGAAAAGTTTAACCCCTGACAGAAAAAGTGGTGTTCTGATTTAATCCACGGTACCCTCTCTAACTTGTAAAACCCCAGCCAAGAGGAGAAACTTCAGCGGTAGTGCTGTGGCAAGATTCCTCCCCAGCAAGTGCCGGCGCCACCACCCCGCACAACTGGGGAAGCCCTGGCCATTCCCCGGTCACACTGCCGGGACTTCTCCCCTCCCCGTGACACATTCCTGGTCCCTGTATTTTCCTCACCCCACGCTTGTGGCCTCGCACCCAGAGCCGACTGATTCCAGAGTACAGTCTAGAGAGAAGTAACTTCGGTTATAAACTGTACGTACCGTTGCGATTAGTCATGAATTCAGTGTCACATTACTTGTTTGGCCTGGCTCTGGTTTCCAGCCCTGAAGAATCCCTTCTACATGGTCCCCGTTCTCCCTCCTGATCAGTAGACCTCCCCCTAGACCTGATCTCTGGAGTTAATCTTTCTTTCTCTTTAACTTCCTGTCTAAGCTCATCAATGTGAGGCCGTAGATGTTTGCTTTTGCCTCCATTTGGTCTCTGAAGCAACAGCAGTCTTTCCTGTTTAGACATCAAAATCACCTCTCGATTAGAACTACTGTTTGAGGGCTGCCTGGGTGGCTCAGTGGGCTAAGCCTCTGCCTTCTGCTCAGGTCCCAATCTCAAGGTCATGTGATCCAGCCACTTCCTCTGCCCCTCCCCACCCCAAATAAATAAGTAAATCTTAAAAAAACAAACAAACAAAAAAACTACTGTTTGAACCACAAGCAGCTTCCCTCACCACTAAACTGATTCTCCTCCATTCAAGAATGGGGACAATAAGACAAATCTCTTAATAGTGGTTTAGAGGATAAAATGAGAAGTCATGCATAAACTTCTGGTAAAGTGCTGGTAGCAAGGTCGCATTCAAACATGGTAGCTGCTACCATTTTAATATGTTATTATTTATTCTTTATTCAACCTGCTGCCATTTGAGCTCCTCCTATGTCCCAGACACAGAATTAAGTGCTTTGGCTTAGTAGACATGGTCCATGTTTTCATTTGCCTTACGGTCAGGTTGGGGGGGGGAAACATGCAAGCAAATCAGTATCGTAAAGAAGGTTATATGCTAGGCTAGAGGTCTGTGGGCTCTGTGTAGAGAGAGTATGGTGCAGGTAACCAATCAAAGTCTTCATAAGGAGAGAAATCCTTGAGCAGGGTGCAGGATATGTGTATGCAATGACCCACAAGGTCACAGGGAAGGGCATTCTGGGCACAGGGGGCAGGGTAAGCAAAGGCACAGAGAGGCATTAAGTAGCCTGAAGAATCAAGCATAGGACGCCTCCCCTCAGCATGATATGGCTGGGGACAGAGAATCAAGACAATCAAGGAAGGCCTTATCTGCAGGCATTATAAAAATTTCAATCAGGGAAGGGTCTTGAGCATGTTTGCGTCTGTAGCAAATCCTTTGGCAGCTGATAGTTGCAAAGATGAGGCTGAAGGCAGCAAGACCAGTTAGGAAAGAATTGAAAGAGCTCAAGTGAGGAGAGTAAGGGCTGCAGCGGTGGGTATGGTCAGGAGGGTGGGGAAGTCCAAGGGAAGGGCTGGGAACGGATTGATACTGAGGTGGAAGGCCGAGGGAGCAGCCTTGGGGAACTCCTGGTTTTGGGGTTGGATGACTGGGTAGGTGAGCTCTGGTCCACTGAGCCTGGGTTCCAGGGTGGGGCTGAGTCCTGGATATGCTGGAATTGAAGGGCCAGTGCCATTCCACTGAGGCGGCCGGTACATCATCGGTTGTGAGCAGGCACAAATGTGTAGAGAGATCGGAGAGTGGGAGTCATGGCCCCGAGAGCAGCTTTTGCGGAGTGGGAGAGGAAAGTGCTAGCCAGCACTTTCTCTTGACCTCCACGTCCTGTTTTATTATCGCTCCTTCCTTGGTCATGGGCCCTGTGTTCTCCTGGTCAGTCCACCCTGGGTCTGGCCTCGGTGATAGGCATTTCTTGTTCCTACACCTTCCATTCTGCACCTGTACAACAGCTTTCCCTCCTCAGGCCCTGCAGTTTTTTCTAAAAAGCCCTCCTGACCTGTTAAAATTCCTACTCCCTTCCCCCAACCCAGTTTGCCCTTCAGTCCCCAGTAAATTTTTCAGAGATCATGAATTTTTTCCCTTGTTCGGACAGTTACTCCCTTAACAATTATTTTCTGTCTTTGCATTTAACATCCTGTGACTATCTCACCGTCACGTCTGTTAGGGTGTTTTCAGCTGATAGTAAGAGAAGCTGTGACTTAAACTCACTTAAACATGATGTGGGCTTTGTATTCCATATAACCAGAAGGTCGGAGGTAGGACACATCCAAAAATGGCTGATTCAGTGGTTCAGCAGTGTCACTAAGGACCCAAGTTCCTTACTCTACCCTGCTCTCCTGGGGCTGGCTTCTTCCTTAGAATGATGGTAAAATGGCTCTCGGTGTTCTAGCCAAACATAAGAATACCCTGAAGAAGAGAGGATGTCTTCCCGCAGCCATGCAGTGAAGTCCACTCCTGTGGTCCAGGTGGCCGGCCTAGGTCATGTCCCAACCTCAGGACCACCAACAGTCAGCACAGAAATGCCATGGTCTGACTGGCTAAGGCTAATTAGAATTCCACTCTGCAGTTTGGGAGAGATCAGCTTTTCCCCAGCATCCCAAGACCACATATACCTAAATAAAACCACGGTTTGGGCTGGAAGAAACAGAAGGCAGTGGTTGCTGGGAGGTTATAATAGCATCTACTTTGATTTCTGCTTTCTTGTAGAAGGAAGTAGGGCCTTTTAAAAAAGTTTCTGCGTTTCTTTACCAAAAGGAAAATAAGCCTGGGGTGCCTGGGTGGCTCAGTCTGTTAAGCATATGACTCGATTTCGGCTCAGGTCATGATCTCAGGGTCCTGAGATTGAGCCGCGCATTGGGCTTTGTGCTCAGCGTGGAGTCTGCTTGTCCCTCTCCCTCTGCTCCTCCCCCTACTCGTGCATGCTCTTTACCTCTAAAATAAATAAAAGCTTAAAAAAGAGAATAAGCCTAATTTGTCCTTTTTTTTTTTTTTTAAATCCACAGCTCCTTCATTCCCAAGTTCATAACCCACCTCTTCAAGTGCAAGCCAATTAGCATGGTGGGAGCAGAACAGGTGAGATAAATTGGCCTTTTTCTTAGGCTTTTATCCTAGGTCAAACACAAATCTTTCTAGTAGGGATTTACCCTGGAGAAATCAGATTGCTGATTTCCCCTGTTTGGGGACAGAAGATGACCTGGCAGCTTAATTCTTCCGTTTATTAAACCATTTTGTCAAGCACCTATTACGTACCCAGGCGTTGTGCTGGGCACAGGCGTACCACAGTGAACAAGATAGAAAAAATCTCTCTTTCCAGGTGCTCACACCTGGGTAAGAAGAGATAGATAAGATATGAGTTAATAAATAAATGAGAAGAGAATTTTACCTTAAATATGCTAAAGGGTATAAAACTAGGTTCTGTGAAAGAATATCTTAGGGGCATGAAGGAGTAATGGCTTCAGATTGGACACTCCACGAAGGCTCCTCCAAAAGCTGGCGCTTGAGAAGAAAGAAGAGTGAAGAGTCCAGGCAGAGGGGGCGGCAAAGACTCTGATTATTTTGGGTCCTCTACTTGCTGGGTAGAGACACTTTTGAGTATCAAGCAAAGAAAGGCTTATCCTTTTGGTACTGAGACGCCAGTCACCTCACCCAAGAAGCCTTCTGTGATTAACCCCACCCTGTTCACTTGAATTCTGTGCTTTGAGACCTCTGCTCACCAGTTGTGTCACCTCAGCGCTGATGGGTTGAGGTACGTGCTACAGCGGAGTCCCCTCTTTTCAGCCATCACCTATCCAGACTGTCTGAAATTTGAGCTGCTTGAATTTAGAGAACAATTTAAACTATCTTAGAAACAAAAACAATAATACTCAGCCCCTAAATCTTGATAAACACCTATTCAGATACAAGCTATTTGTGTCCTGACCTTAAATGAGTCCCCTGTATTCATTAAAAGAAATCCTCTCTAGACCTCTAGGTAGCAACATTTTACCTGTTTCGGTTACTTTTTATATTTGAAAGAACTCCCAACGACATTTTTAAGTGAGATGATGTAATTCAAGACATTTCCATAAGTCCTGCTCTTCCACCTAGTTAGTCGACTTGGCAGAGGCTCAGCTATTTCCCAGCTCAGTGACTTGCCCTCACCCTGGGCCCTCAGCATTGCTGACCCGAGTCATGTCTCCAGAAGACAGCAAGTTGGCCTATGCCCCAGTGCATCATGGATCCCTCATGAGATATCGCAGCCAGAGATGCAATAGCTGTGAACATCAGGAATCTCTTGACTCTGATACGTGCCCTGTTTCTATACTCTTTTTGTAAGGGCCATCGCCTTCCTAGCTTATGAAAAAGCTGAATGGTGTAAGCATGAAGATCCTGGGGTCCAGAATGCTGAAGGTGTGCAGCTGAATCCTATCTCTGCAACACAGCAACTGCTTGTCCTTCAGCAAACCTCCCAGCAAGTTAGTTTCCTCATCTAGAAAACGGGGATTGATTGTAGTTGCGCCTTACAGGGCAGTTGTGAGGATTGAACAAGATTGTGCACATCAAGTCCTTGATGCAACGTCTGGCATGTGTACGCCCTCAGCAGAGGCTGGCCCTTCCCGATTTTCGCTTGCTCAGACCAAGAACATGACTCTGTTTCTGCTTTCAGTACCCGCCTCGCCCGCCCATGACATCTGGTTGCTACTTGCTGCAGCTGTCTGGCTGACCAGCTTTAAAAGCCAGAGTCCAAAGTGTTGTCTCAGAAAGCTTCCTGGGAGGTTGCATAGATCCAGACACCGACTATAGTGTTTCAGTGTTTTGCAATTCTTGACTCTTGAATGTCATAAGCATAGAACTAATTCTGTTCGTTGGAGATGGCAGAATAATGCCCCAGCATGTCTCCAGTCATTAGTACCTGTTCGCTGGGAGATCGTTGTGTGCGCCTCACTGTTGTGCGTAATCAGAAAGGATGTGCAGTAATGATCTCTGTATCTAAGAGAAGCTCTAGAGGTAGGAGTTCCTAACGTTTTGTCTCTAGACTTGAAGCCACTGGAACACAAAGTCGGCCTGTTGGGAACATGTTTTTGTGAGTCTGCAGCTTTGCATGGGCCATGCTAGCCAATTGAGTGTCTAATAACCATGATATTTTCATATTGTCACAGAAATCCAATATCCTACCTGTGCTCCTCAGATTTTCTCTTCTTCAAAAAAATGATAAAATAATCAGCTTGGGAGTCAAAGCCCATATCTTCTGAAAAACAGCAGTTTGGCCAGAATTAACTCCTGCTTTGAGATGTGGATGAGAAAACCATCTGCAAAGCTGGATTTTACTTTGTTCACAAGGCAAATGGGAGTGTGTGATAAGGGAGCCCAGCACGGAAGTGGGCACAGGTGGGAACTGAAGGGCAAGGTGACCCCTGTTGGATACCCACATGAAGTTCAGGTGTAGGCAGGTCCACGCTTGCCCTGAGTACCTGGGCTGAGAAAGCGCGCAGTCCTATAGCTGGAGGCGCAGTTACTTGGGCAGCAGAACCACAGGAATCAGGTAGTTTACAAAGGCTGCAACAGATTTCTGACTCAGGTCTTGTAGCAGCTCTAATCCAAGCTTTCACAAAAGCTGTGGAATTGAAAGTCAAGATTTTGCCTGATCTCAGCTGCCTTTGCTTTGTCATAAAGGCACTAGATCCTAAATTTAGATTATCTTCAATACTTGTGCCGAAAATAGGAAAGGAGACGTTTCCCTGCTCTTTATTCTCTTCCTGATTACTATATAAAGTGAATTATTTATCTATAGACCTCAGAGTCCTCTTGAGCAATTGCAGGGGCACATGGAGCTGAACCGTACCAATATTTGTAATGCTTCTTCCTAGATGGTGATCTTTCAGAGATCTTACAGGATTTGCAGGGTCATTAATTAGTCTTATGGCGATGGTATCTGTGACTGAGCACACAAGAGAAATACAATCCATTTGCACGAACTTACCATACAGGAAGCAGCACAATATGGTGTGGGGGGAAAAGGATCCCAAGACTTGAGGCCCAGTCCTTACTCTGCTGTTAATGGTCCCTGTGATCATGAGCCATTGCTTCCCTGATCTAGGCTCAGTTTCCTCATGTTTAAATAAGAGCACTGAATCAAACTCTCACACGCCCCTTCCAGATGTATCATATTACAGAGTCTGAAATATTTTGAGCAGTGTATCGCCTATGAAGCTATTTTCTTTTCCTTTATATTATCTTCATATACATACTGACCCTGTTTTTATTGTGGTAAAATATACATAACATAAAGTTGACTATCTGAACCACTTTTAGGTGTACAGTAGTATTAAGTCCCTTCCCATAGTTGTGCAGCTCTCCACCAGCAGACCTTGTCTTCGTCTCAAACTTAAACTCCATTCCCATGAAACAGTAGCTTCCCATTCCCTCCTGGCAGCCACCATTCACCTTCCTATCCCTGTGAATATGACTGCTCTACATACCTCATCTGAGTAGAATCATACAATATCTGTCCTTTTGTGTCTGGCTTATTTCACTTTAGTGTGTCTTCAGGGTTTATCCATGTTTCAAAATTTCCTTCCTTCTTAAGGCTGAATAATACTCCATCACATACACATAAACACACACTCCATTTTGACCATATTGACTTTTTAAAAATTCACAGAATTCAAAATCATCTGGAAAAAAATATTTAAAGCAAAATTTAGATTTTTTTTTTTTTAAGCCCAAACACCAAGGAAAAGGAAAAAGAGAATCAGGTAGTATGTGCATAATGGCAATTGGAAGAATGAGAAAATAGAATGGTTATTCCTGGGCACAGTTCTCGGTAAATTCCAGAAAATCTCCTCTAAGTGTGGAGTTCAGCACACCTTTTAAAAAAGCAAGTGGACGGGGCACCTGGGTGGCTCAGTAAGTTAAGCGGCTGCCTTCGGCTCAGTTCATGATCCCAGGGTCCAGGGATCGAGCCCCACATCGGGATCCCTGCTTAGCAGAGAGTCTGCTTCTCCATCTCCCTCTGCCTGCTGCTCTGCCTGCTTGTGCTCTCTTTCTGTCAAATAAATAAATAAAATCTATAAAAAATAAATTAAAAAGCAAGTGGATCAATAACAATGTAATTCCCATAGGGATAGATTTAAAAACTCACCAACCACCGCCTCAGCAAACTAGGAATAGAAGAAAGATAGTTGACTCTGATAAAGGTTTTATACAGAAACTTAGGAGAGGGGTGTGCATTACAAAGGCTAAATCCATTTGTCAGAATTTTACAGTTCAGAATTGTACATCCCAATATACTTACATTTTACCCCCCAAAATTAAGTGAAGGATAGAGCACTGATAGCAGGGTTTCTTACCCTCTGCACCTTTGACATTTCAGGCCAGGGAACCTTCCGCTGTGGGGCTGTCGGGTGCATTGTGGGACGTTTGGCAGCGCCCCTCACCATTACCCACTAGCCACCAGCAACACCGTCCCGATTGTGACAAGGGAAGATGTCTGCAGACATCGCCAGACATCCGAGCACAAGTGAGGGTGCAACCAAACCACTCCCAATGAGAGCCGCTGGATTAGAAGCATAGATGCAGTGTGATGAGAATGACGATGTCTTTGGTGGCAGCGGCGTGGCGGTACATAAGGAGTCACTATACTATTCTGTGTACTTCATATAGGTTTAAACCTCTCCACAGTAACAAAATTTACCAAAATAACAACAACAACAACAACAACAGTAGTGTTACCCTACTCATGAGTAATCCAAAATAAAATTTTGAGAATTGATATAAAACCCCATGCTTTCTGAAATTAAACTAGCTTCCTTCTGTATTTTCTGACTGTAGAACTTAAACGTTCAGGGGCACCTGGGTGGCTGTCAGTTAAGCGTCCAACCCTAGATCTCAGATCAGGTCTTAATATCAGGGTTGTGAGTTCAAGCCCCATGTTGTGCTCCATGGAGGGTCTGAAGCCTACATAAAAAAAAATTTTTTTTAATTTTAAAAAAATTTTAAAGAACTTACATTCAAAAAAACTGAACTTTCTCCTTCCAGTTTTTGTGTGCACGGGCTACTGTCCCAATCGTGAAGGTTTCTCCCTTTTGCACAGC